TCCTCCTCCTCCTTCTCCTCCTCCTCCTCAATTGTTGTGTAATTGCATAAGAAAGATACAAACATCAACTCTTTTTGTTCTCTCTTCCCCCAATCTTTTCGCGTCTTACTCCTCCGCATTTCTTATAATAATACAATCACATATAAAAACGATACCTGAAAATGAACATCGTGATTTAACGTGATCATACACTTCCAAGTTACAAAGGTAAAGCGATTAATTAAAAGACGAAAGGGAAATTACACCATTGTTATCCACTTCCTCCTCTACATTTTGCTGCCTTAGAATTACACCGTTCTATCCGCTCAGTGAGGTAGATCTACCTTGTTCTGAGAAAGTTGACGTAAAAAATTTTAAGTTTCACATCATGTCAAGCTTTTTGGAATGCAATTCTTTGAGTTTGAATATCTTGATAACGACCCCAAATAATCTTACACTTTTGATAGAGCAGACATAACATTTGGTTGTTGATCTCAAGGTCTTAGTACGAGACTCAAACCGGGCAAAAATGTCAGACAGAACTTTGTAATTCTGAGGTAGCGATTTGATAGGGTACGTGGTAGGTTCCCTCAATAACTTGCTCAACTACAGGGTGGAGGGCATGACTTTCCAGCGGAGCATTGTTGAACTAAATACATGAGTTTTGCTTCTTGATATTTATTTCATTACTTTCCACTCAGACCAGGGTGGCCAAACTCCAAAATTATATTTTTGTTTGTTTTTGAAAGAGGATCAACGTATTCTCAAAGATACTGCAAAAGCTCATTCTAAAACAGAACATTGCCTATTCCAAGTACTTACCTACACATGTGAGATGCATACAATTCCAACAGCTGTGGTGTGTATACTGCATGGATTTTATGCAACTGGCTGAAAGGTCTTTTGGCAGTGGCTGTCTCCCAGCAGGTGTGGAACTTGCTAGAGATGAGGAAGCCTCGATCGCAATACTCAGGATCTGCCAACAGAACGCATGGCAGGGTTACATCGCATCCATCCATCCATCCATCCATCCACCCATCCATCCATCCATCCATCCATCCATCCATCCATCCATCCATCCATCCATCC